ATATTATATTATATTATAATTAACCAGGCAAATCCCACTGACAACACAGATGTCTTTTGCAAGCTAGGCCTGGGCCTGAAGGCAGCCTATCGTGCATGTTTTCAGTCTGTGGGAGGAAACTGAAGAAAACATGCAAATTCCACACAGAAAAAACCCTGGGTCCGAACCAGGGATCAAACTCAGGACCATCTAACTGTGAGATATCAGTACTAACCACTTACCAGCTGCCGATTACCAATCCATGTCAGATATAGAAAAAACTAATTACAAATCATGTTTGTGAATTTGAATAAAGGTAGATACTTACTAATCAAAGCAGAGACACTGTTGAGTTTAGGATCATAAGGACATTTTCCTTTCCCAGAATCCACTTTGCCAGGTTCAAGACGAAAAATATATTCCTGCCATGAAGAAAAAAGTTAAGAAATATTTATTCGGTTCATTCATGTTTTCTTTACTCATTATTTTTAAATGTTAAAAACAGTTTAAAAGGTGTAACAATGATTAGGTGGAAGATGTTAATTTGAAGGCACTTAATTCACTTCCTCAAATAACTATTTGCTTTGCTGAGGGGAGAAGAAAGACACACATGAGTGACTCGGAGCAGTCAAAAACTCATCCGCCATGCTTCTGTTGTTAGTCCTTTTTACTAAAATTCATTGTGAGACAGTGCAAAATGACACATTTAAATGTCTGTGTCAACACTAATGTTCTCAGGATGTGACAGGCAAAACATTTTTTTAAATGTTGGGAAGAACCGTGTTTTTAACCTGCTCTTGGATATTGTTTTAGGCACAATAAAACTCAAAAAATATGCATAAAGATGCTCATCGATCATCCAAAATAACAGCTGCTGTTTGAGCAAACATTTTTGCAGACCTGATTTAAGACATAAAGAAAAACAAGACTTTTTTCAGTCTTAATGTTTGGGTTCACTTGGTACGTGTTACAGCTAATATTTAGTGAAGGTTTGAAGTTTTATTTTGGAAGTGCTCTTTGATGAGAACAGACTTTATTTACTACTTGGGAAGTTTGTTTGAATTCTCCAGAAGTCAGAAAGCTGGCTGGGTAAACCAATATAGACTGTATACATATATATTTAGCAATGCTATTCCCACATTTCCATTTGAATTAAAAACTGTACTGCAGGTGGGCACCAAACTCTGGAACTCCTTCAGCCCACCTTTGTGTTCATAGGCTCTGATGTAGTGCTGTAGTCTGCTGCTCGACTTGTTCTCCCTCCTGACTGAGCTGCCTGTAGGTTTTGGAAACCCTAAAAACAGAAACACGGCACAGTTGGCCTCCTCGTTAATAATGATAAAAAAAAATCTCAAATAAAGGTGGGATTCAACTGAAGAGAATCATAACTGAGGAAAAAAAGGTAAAAAAAAGACTCAAGTAGATTCAACAAAGAATGAAGAATTCTGAAAGATGGAAAGATAAAAATAATTAAAGAAGTTGAAAGTGGGGGTCAAAGGGCCAAAGGCAGTTTTTTTTTCAATATTTAGTGTCATGCAAACACAAAAGTGTTAACTTCACACAAAAAATCATGCAAGAGTATAAAAAAAGAAATCAAGCTGAAAAAGGGGAAAATTAAATTGTTTAAAAATACATAGAATGAAAGCAAAACATAATTTACAGCTTTAAATATAAATTCATGAAGCATATATGTGCGATCATATCTCATCAGAATTTAGAATTACTGCTGGTTAGTCACAGCTCACAAGAGCTGAGCTTCAATTATTGTAAAAAACGCAAACATTAACAAATAAAATATGGACCTAAATGACATCTTATTGAACATGTTCAGAATCATTTTATATATCACACACTGATAAAAAGAGTGATACATTCTAAAGGGACAAAACAGACAGTGAGCAAGAACTGAAATCCTGTGAAGCTCACTGCGCAACAAAGGAAGAGATCTGCAAACAAGCAGTTTGTGTTTACATTTCCTCCGATGGAGTAAAACCTTTACAGTGTGAAGCAACACAAACTCCGGGCCTCAAGAGAGAAGCAGAATGACAACAGGCAGATTGACCTTTACACTGAAATCTGAAGCCTCTAAATTGAACAGTGAGACTAAACAGACAGMGCTGAGAATGTAAGTGTGCTGATTATAACCTGTCGGGGCAGCTGCCGTGGCTCTGCACGGCCACCACAGAGAAGGGGTGGGGGGGCTACAAGGCCGATGATGGATGAGAAGCTCCATCAGTAATGATCGCTCCCACCCAGACAGGCAGAGCGACCTGCTGTGTGTAAACAGGTGAGAACGGGGGAGAAGGGACCCCAAGGAAGGGATTTTTCTGCACGTATTTTAATACAAAATCATATAAATGGGAGAGAATTTCAGCCTTTAAGAGCTAGTGAGCATACATCCCATTATAAATAGCTTCATTTATCAAACTGAGATTGTTCAAAGAGCTATCTAAAACAGGTAAGATATTATTTTTCATTACCTTTCTAGAGGTACCTCACTTTAATGATCCAAACTATCCATCAAAGCAGTGACAGGTATCTTACCAAAAGCTTATTTGTCATAGAAATCAGGGGAAGAGGTGGCGAAAAGGCACAAATCAATGAAAACTAAAATGAGGAAAATAAATGAAGTGAAGCAAAGCTGAGCAGCAGCAGCCAAAGATCGACCTGAGATTGATTGACTGATATGGTTCTTTAGGAACTAGAGAGCAAAGGTCAACWTGTCTCTACGGATGCCTAGTTGTGTCTCTGGTTACCTGCGACCTGCGTCCTCTGTCCACATATGTGCAGATGGGATTGTACGCTCCTGTTCCACAAACATACAGGTGGGTCCGGTTCCACGGCTCAATCAGGCGGATGAAGTTTCCACATTCCCCCTAGGCGACAAGAAAATAAAACACAACCGGATTATGGACATTTTTTTATCTGACTGTGAAATTATATTGGGAAAAAGCTTACATAAGACACAATGCCCCAGCTTTCTTTTTCTTTCCTTTTTTATTTTATTTAATTTTTTTTTGTTAAGAACTTCCCTGTCTGATTTAAAACCATCTATTACTTTTTTTTGTTGGCTTGGCTTACATTTTGCTGCTCTGGTCCCTGCCCGAAGGCCTCACATCAGACCACACTGTTAGAGTGAAAACGTTTCCAAACATCATACAAGTGGGTGGTGGGAGCCCAGAAAATTGGTACCTCTGGGATGCGAAGAATATTTGCTGAAGGGATTGAGGTTAAACACAATTCAAACTTGGCAAATGAAAAACATTTTGGTTAAACCAAGCTGGGCTACTGAAAGAAAATATTGGTTTTACATAAAAACTATAATTGAGGACAAAGACAATGATGTGAACATATGAATACTGATTACATTTACTGAGTTGCTTTATTCAGTTGGCAAGTTTTTTTAGTTGCTACTGAAAATGGTTTTATAAAGTATTCACACTGTTAAAATTGTTTCTTCCGTATGTTTCTTGGCACGTCTCATTCTGCAATTTTGTGCTTTTTTAACAAATATAATATAATATAATATAATATATAATTATATCAAAACGTTCAACTCCTTTGGGACATTCCAACTATGACTTCTGGTATTTCAGCACTTTATACCTGTTGAAATATTTACCTTTTTCTGCCATATTTTTCCTCTTTGAAAATGAATGGAGCTGTTTTCAACATCGTTAAAACTCTTCAAAACAGTCATAAATATTTACTGTACTTTTTACTTTTTGTTCTGGTTCTGCTTATTTTTTACTTCTTTGTGCTAATTTCAGCTTCCTTATTGCTTCAAATAAAGCTGATAATAGCTTTATCAAGTAACAGTTTGACCTTTATTGCTATTCTTCTGCTAATTTCAACACTTTTGTGCTTCTTTTAGCGTCTTTCTGCTATTTGAAGCTTTTTTATTTTATTTTTGATTTTACTGTTTTAACCAGGCAAGTCCCGTTGAGATCGCAGATGTCATTTTCAAGGGCGGCCTGGGCCTGAAGGCAAGATTTTGTGCATGTTTTTTGGGGGTGGGGGAAACCGGAGTACTCGGAGAAAACCCACGCAAGCACGAGGAGAACATGCAAACTCCGCACAGAATGACCCCAGGTCCAATCGGGGATCGAACCCAAGACCGTCTTGCTGTGAGGCGTCAGTGCTGACCACTGAGCCGTCATGCTGGCTTTGTTTGTGTCTTTTAGCCGCTTTCTGCAAATTTCAGTTGTTTTCTGTGTTTTCAGCCGCTTTTCATTTAGTTTGAGCTTTTGTCAGCGAATTGAAAAACTCATCCTTTTGTGATGATTTCAGCTTCACACTGCTTGATTCAACAAACGGGCTATTTCTGCTTCTTTGTGCTAATTTGAGATATTTTTAGGCTAGTTTCATGTTTTTTGAAGTATTCAGCAAAAATCTCTCAGCATTAAGCATTCACATTGCATTTTGACATTGAATGCAAATTCTCTAGTTCTTGTAGGTTTTTCTAACCTTTGCGTGTCAGACGAGCTGTTTGTCTTTCTAGTTTTAGCCGTTACCCTCCAGCAACAAAAAGACAATATCTGCTCATGTTTTTTCTGCTTTAATGACAGCTGGACATAAAGAATGCGTGGAGCCAAAATACAAATGCAAAAAAAAAAAAAGAAATTGTACAAAGGATAAAGGGGGATGAGCCTTTTTGGAAACACGACAGATGCAGACGTTTCAGAGGATGTGCTTTAGTGTGCGTGTGTTTCCACACGTGGGCCTATGTGGATTATTTGGTGCTCASTTGTCACCCCCCCACCATCACCACCACCACACACAGCAAGCACAGCAGGGATGATTGCCTGTGACCTCCTGCCTAAACCGATGTCCCTCCTGAATAACAGTTGAATTGTCATCATCTTTCATTCACTCAGAAACGACCCATGTCAGGATATCTTGCAATTTTATCCAATTTCTTTCCCCTTCCAGTGATGAAATTTCAACTCACACACACACACACACACACACATGCACGGCTCACATGTGCAACACACAAACACGCAGAGACAATGTATCCACAGGCAGCAAGCGGTGTGAGACACAAGCACGCATAAATGCACATTCTAGTTGGATAAGCAGCGGCCTGCGCTCACTCCCAGCAGGGTGGAGCAGGGCGATTAGCCAGAGCTCCATCACTTGAACGGTGCTCCCTGCTCCTGCATGCCCTCGCGCTAAGCACAGATGAAACGTGTGTGTGTGTGTGTGTGTGTGTGTGTGTGTGTGTATGTGTGTGTGTGTGTGACGGGGGGAATGGGGAGGGGGGTATGATGTGTGAACCAAATCAAAAGAGATGGATCTGCTTTTTGTATGAATTTCAATGATGAGTTTCCCCTCTCCTGTGGGGGCTGCACAGGCGGTGGTCGCGTTTGAATGTCTGAACCTTTTTACCATTTCAGACGAGACTGTAGAGTCCACTGTCCAGTTCATTTAGGGACAAAGGGTGGAATGATGCTGTGCAAAAATCAGTTTTATGATAAAAGATGGATGAAAATACAGTATTTGCTGTGTATTAGCAAATGGGAGATGAAGACGGGGAAATAGCATGGGCTTTCAAGACGACTAAATGTTGCACGTTTTTGAGTCCCTGCAAGAGTTTAATTGGTGGCAGCTGTACGCAATCAGCAATCAGGGATGCAAAGACAGTAAATAAGAGCTCCACAGCGAGTCGCACTCTGGGAAGAGCTTCAAAAATGTCCTCTAATGACCCAAGTGCCACATTTAAAATGCCACATCAGCATCAACTAAATGGCACGTTGAAGTCACATTTTTAAAAAAATATGTAATCAGCTTGCATGGACAGAAAATCTACTGCTGTAGTGACAAACCACAAACATTTTGACTAAAATTGACAAATGTCCAACACCTAAGCTTATTCTCTTCTTTCTAACTTCAGATCTTTCGCAGTTATAATAAAGTCAAATAAGAAGTCACAAAAAATGTTTTATATCTGTGGTAGAGAACTTTTTGAACAATCTCAGTTTTGGAAAAAATCAAACACAATTTTATTGGTATTGATTGGTTAGTCTGAGACCACGAGAGATTGAATACTTGATATCCATGCTGCCTGCTTCTTAAAAGATTTAAACTGTGTCTCAGTTCGGGGATTGCAGCCCATGTAGATCACACCCCACATGAGCAGCAGGTCATCCATGTAGGCTGCATAAAATGGCGGTGAAATGAGACTAGTCTAGTTTTTGGATTGCCACATTGTTATGTTTTATATCCTATGACTTCAGTTGGAACCTTTCACACGTGGTATAACTTCACAAAATTCTGTATTAAAAATGTTACTTGTAAATAAAATAAAAAACATCAATAATTTAGGTTTAGCTTCAGTATCAGTACATGTAATTTTATTTAACATCTCATTGCAGCATAAATTTAATCAGCTGATTTACTAAATATACGTTTAATAACAAATTCTTTGGTTCGTTATAAATTTCCAAACTCCGCCATAAAAAAGAAAAACTCAGCCGTTTTTGTTTTCTTGTTTAGTTTGCTGACGGCACAATGAATCCTAGGATATCGTCGGCCGTGTAGAATCTTCAGATGCATTTTGGGATTTTGTCGTTTTGTCGTAGACATCTACGAATTGGGACAGCCTACGGCGCCGTGCAGTGATGTAAGCGGTTGACTAATGTGCCCTGTTTGTGCTGCAGCACACAGCCAAAAATTCAAGATATCAAATGGACCTTAAAGGACTTCACTGCCTGTATCGTCTCACTTTTATTGTTTAGTTTATAAAGTTTTAGAGCTTTACACAACCTTTTTAAATCATAATGACAATTTGACCATAGATCAGATTCCATTATTGCATTTGTCTATAACTCAGTGAGTGATCAAAACTGTTACTTACATTTGTATCTTTCCCTGACAGAATACATTCAGTCTTCCTTTGAGCTGCAACAGGCCAGTGGATCTGACAGAAGCACAAAACAAACAAGCTGGTTAGCCTCGAACCCACGCTGATTCTGTTCAGTTTCATGTTTGAGTAAAAAARAAAAGAAGAAAAAAAGCTTTCTTACAATGAGCGGCTCCTTGTTGATGTCGTGCAGATCCAGAGAGAGAATGTAATCTTTGCTCCCCACATACATGCGGTCGTGGTCCTCGTCCATGCGGAGGATCCGGTAGTCGGTTGAATTGAGCAGGAAGGAAAAGTGGTGAGCGGTGCCGGTGGACTTTAACTCTGTTTAAACAAAAAAGAAGAAAAACAAAGGTTTTGTTTAAACTGTGTCAGTAAGCAATGAAAAAATCAAAAACAATGAACYTGAACAATAAAACCATATCAAGCACACACCCAGAGACAGTATGCATGTTGGAACGAGTGTCATGGTAGTATGCTAATGATCCTTCCAAACAACTCCTCCAAATTAACTTACAGGAGCTGTTTGGTTTCTCTCTTCCCTCTTTGCGTGCAGCTCTAACGAGGTTATGGATGGACTAGATCTGGTTATTGACTAGCTTGACAAAGAGAAGAAGACATTAACTGACCCTCCAGAGTCTCAGCTCAATGGCAGCAGACAAAAACAGATCACTCAATGGCTATGACAACTGGAAGAAGTCACATGATCTGATTCTTATTACAAAAAAAAAAGGGGGCAGATAATTGATAATGTCCAGGGTCCGGCAGCCTGACCTTTCACCTTTTTCTTTTAAAGCTTTCACATTATGAAATGGAGGACTGGCTTTGCTTTAATCAATTATTCTAAATTATGAATAAATCAAGCAACATAAAAGATGCAGAGCACACGTGGGCTTCATTCCACACTCTGTCCTCCATACAAGTCTCAACTATTTTAATATAAACTACTGCAGAGTAGCTCATGTTGGTGAGTTGGGATTTAAGCAGAAACAAAAAGTAACCTTTCTCCTGATATTATCTCCTTAGCTCAAAAAGTAAGGAAATTTGTGTTTGATAGATCATGTCATTGTTGTAACAATGCTTTTTGGCAATAAATCTTATAACGTTGGAAATCCTGCTAATTTCTCTTTTAAATGGTGCCACATTTGTAAGGAACATGCATTTGTGGGATGAGCAGTGTAGAGCTGAGTGGGCTGCGCATGGGAAAGATTTGCCAAATCTTCTCTGCCGTTGCCAAACTGCTTGTTTTGCTGTTGCTACTGACACTCATTTTGTCCTTTACCCCAGGTGCTACCAGTCAGGAGCCCAGTAAATACAAGATTTATTGCTAAGAAGCTTTGTTGCAACAAAGAAACAATTCAACAAACACAAATGTCCTTGCTTTTTTGTGCTAAGTGTATTCAGATAATGACGTTTCTTCCTTTCAATCCCCAACAAATCAGTTCTTTTGCCGATGTTTGAAAAAAACTGAAAAGTTAAGAACCTGATCAAGTTTTGTTTGATTAGGAGCAGAAGAATGTGCTCACTGTTCTGTATATCCAAAAGTCTGACGGTCAGTGATCACAGAAAAAGCTTCACAACACAACTTTCCTCAATCAGAAGGAAAAGAAGAAAAATGTTGTCCTACTTCACAGTGAGACAGCCTGAAGCTCTAGCTGCTTAATACATGTTAAAATACTGATGTGATATCTTTATATACAGTGTAAAAAAGCCTCAGCTGCTGCTGAGCTGAGCTCCTTCAGACACTAAGGCTTCTGTCACAGTGCAGACTTCGGCCACACAAGGAGTAATAAGATAWAGTTGTCACCCTTGTAATTTTTGAGAGCTCCTTCATGTAACATTTGGTTAAAAATGGGTGTGCTCAGTGTACTGTGGCGTAATGCTTGCATTGAGGTTTGCTTCATAGAAATGTCTCCTAACTTGCTGTAGTTTGGATTTTTAGTGTGTTTGCATGAAGTATTCCAGGAAACACTTCTGAAATAATCCAGAACCCTTGTTTATAATTTCATCACACTGGCATCAGCCTGCTTGTTCACCCCTCTCCAGCTGTACTGCAGCTGTTTAGTTTCATRCTGCTGCTCTTTCACATTAAATCAGAAGAAGCACTCACAGTGAGCACTGACTCTGTTTAACAAAAATACGAGGAGATAACAAGACAGCGATTTCCTGCATTTATGACAGCAGCTCAGCTTTAAGTATTCAACACCAACTACCCAGAAACTCACAGTTGTGTAAAAAATACACTAAAGCTTCAATTTGAGAGCTTAAAGTCACAGTATAAAACATTCAAAACCACATTTATCATTACACAAAACTGTTTTYTTTTTTCAACAAATACCATCAGTTAAATTCACTCCTGTTCTTGTGTGCTGGTGTTTCTCTGGAAACAACAAACATTTTAAATCTAGATAAACATACTGAAATTACAGCTAAATGTAGTTTCACTTTTTTTGTATATGGTGACTTTTGCTTCAAAAAACAAGTAAATAAAATATGTGACAGTCAAATTCTACTTTAATATTTTAATAAAGTTTGATCCATAAAAACTGGTTGATCTCCTGATGGTTGCCTCATTTTCTGTTTGTCCGATTTTGAACAGCTTGAATACAAGTATGAAAATCAACAACTATCTACATGATTCTAAAGAGATAGAAATGTCATTGTTTTCCTAATTTATAATGCAGGACTGCAAGATGATTCTATTTTTTGTATTCCAGTTTCATCTGATATTAATTTTTATCTATTTATTTATTGTTTTTTTTTTTTTTTTATCTCTGAAGGCTTGTGCCGACCTTCAAGATGCAACAGAATGAAAGCCTTCAGGTGGAGACTTACTGTCCCAGATTCAGGTCAAAGCAAACACAACTTGACAGAAAGACTGACGGGTGAGCTACAAGTTAACATCAAACATCACAAAGTCTGATTCTCCAACAGGAAAAATGTCAAGAATCTGACAGCCTGCTATTTTCCCTTTAATGTCAGTTATTCATTGTGTCAGCTTTCCTGAATAAAACAAACTTGAGCCTGACAAATAAAACAATTCCAAATGGAAACAGGTATGTTTTATAAAAATTTAAACAAAAACTAGATCTAATTCTGGCAAACATTATTTTTTTCTCTCAAGATCTATAAGAGTTATTTAAAGTGGAAAGGGTTACTGATAAGCATTTTGAAAAAGCAACAGGCAACAAACATGACAAAACTTTGACGACACATCATAAACCCAAATGCAGCTGATCCTAACTTCTATAAAGTCTATRCATCTTTTCAGCTAAAACACATAAGCTCAGCTGAAAGCCGATACTGYAACTCCATTCACTGTACCGTTTTAATTTGTGTAACTGAAGTGGTTATTTAGTACCCAGGATGAACAATCTTGGCAAGATGAGACGTGCTAAAACACATTTTCTTTGAAATAATGCCTGCAGCATGGTGAGATAAGAAGAAAAGTATGATAACAGTCCACTTCAAACTGTGCTTACACTCTACTGTCAGCAAAAAAAAGAAAAATTTTCACAAGAGCATTCCCGTGTGTTTGTAGAACAGCAAAAAAGGCCCTCTGAGGCCAAGAACAACATTTAAAAACAAAACAAACCTTGACATAGTGTTAAGCGGTCAAATTTACAACCAGCTTGCTACTCTGACCACTGATGGGTCACAAATGTCAGGATCTGGTGTGTATCACCCAGTTTTAAAGCAAGTCTTAGTAATGACTACCAGACACAAAGCCAGTTTGTCTTTTTTTTCCCAGTGTGATCAAATTGTCTTCAGTTTTCTGAAGGTGTTTTTGCTGGACTAAACTAAATCTGCTGTCAGGGGAATGTGAAGACATTTGCTAATAAACTGAGGCAAGCTGACAACATTTTCTGTACTTTCTGCTCCATTTTGTAGCCATGCAGCCTTTTTGGGTGGACTTAGTAAGTAGTGGCTTTCTTGGTAACCCTCAAAGTGACCCCTGATTTGTATTTGTAAGGAGATGCACCTCCCAGATCCTGCTGCTGCCACCTCTTTTTACGCCTTTTAGGTTTGCCCCTTTTCTTACTAACAGATTGTCTTTTGAAAAAAAAAAAAAAGAGGGAGGTTTTAGGGAGCAGGAAGCAGAAAATCCCACATACCTGCCCAGGCATCCATGGCATTTTGTCTGAATTCCCCCAAATCTGCTCATGTTCACTTTCTCCCACACTAAAAGGTGTGGCCCCACCTTGCTGAAGCTTGTCTGCAGCCAAGCATGCAAGGATGTGGCCCTAAAAGTAATTAAAATCACACAGAGACCGTCTGGAAAAATGTTTTGGGATGTTGAAATGGTTGACTACCTTTTAAACTGAAACAGTCAAACTTTTGCTTCTTTCATCATAAAACCAGCATCTTTAAAGAAAGAGTTCACTATTGTTGGAAATGCCAAAAATGGCTTTTATTGTTGCCGGTGGGCATATTTAGATCTATGTTTCCTTCTTCTTTATTTAAAAATTACACATTAACTTCTACGCAGCCAACTTGACAGCCAGTTATTACAGAGGTATACAAGGAAGTGGTTGTGAAAAGCATAAAAAAGTCAAAAAATGTAACAGAAATTTTTATAATCTTGAAACTTAAACTTATTTGTCCTGTTGTACTCTTTAATGTAAAATGAAAAAAGATAAAGAAATTAAAACACATGTAAGTTTGTAGTTAACAGTTTTTGCAGCTGAATTAAATGCCTTCTACTAATGTCATTGTTCAAGACTGCAAGAGATTTTAGTTTTTTGCCATAATTCATATATTTTACACATCCAACCGCCGTTCCCCTGCAATGAAGGGTGGCTTTTMATCTCAAGCTCAGGTCCTCTACAAGAGGCCTGGGAGCATGAGGGTTCTTTGCTGTACCTCAGCTTCTCCTAGGGCTGTGTTTTCTGGACTGAGATGTCAGATGTTTACCCAGGTATCTGTTGGAGCCACTTCTCCAGTGTGGGGGGTGGTTCACTGCCCCAAGTGCTCCAAAACAGGCACTGCAGTTGCCTTCACCTGCCAGGCTCGTTCTAGTTCTTCCCTGAGCCTTTGGTATTTCTCCAGTATCTTGTGTTCCTTTTTCCTGATGTTTCCAACACTGGGGATGGTCACACCAACCACAGCTGTCCTCTGCTGCTTATCAGTGATCACAATGTCTGGTTGGTTGGCCATTACCATCTTATCCGTTTGAATCTGGAAGTCCCACAGGATCATAGCTCATTCACCAACAACTTGGGAGGTGATTCTCACTTTGACCTAGTTGTTGGTCGGCCTGCCTGCCTGTCTGTTTGTCTGTCTGTTGATCGATAGATATACTGTACGTATACATTTTTAGTCCA